TTAAATTTTGTAATTATTTTTTGTCTTAGGGACCATTTTGCAATTTAATTTGGAAGATATTTTCAAGAAGGACCTTTTTGCAATTTTTAAAAAGTGTGAATAGTGTCACACCTCCATTTGTTCACTTGTTGCTATCTCATTGGTTCACACTTGGGAGCCTTCGATGATGACATGTGAAGGGTGAGGATTCACCCACTTGTTGACCTAAGATAAATACACTTGTTGGCTTGGATGGTTGATAAGTGTAGGATTAATATTAAGCCTAGGATGGATGTTTGGATTAGTGACAAGTGTAGGCTCCAAAATTAGTCTTGCATTAGTGTATGTGAATGGTGGTGTAAGAACACATAGTCAGTGGAGAAATACACTAAAATTAGTTTAGGTATTTTCATTTTATTTTTATTTCATCTCTGTCCTCTCAAACCCTAACCTAGCCACCACTGAAGGAAAGCTTAACCTAGGCTTAAAACCTTGGTTTTGATCTCCTTCCACTTATCTTTGACCTTAAAGCTTAGAATACAAAAACTTTGCCTCACCTTCCTCTACAAAACCCTTAAAGGAATTCTTGAAATTCCATTGCTTCCATTGGATTCAAAAGGAACAATCCTTTTGTGAGGTAGGAGAAAATTAAGGTTTATAATTCATGTACTTTAATGTTTTTGTATCTTAGAACAATTTGAAAGTATGCCTTTAACATAATTATAAAAATTGTTGGTAGTAGTACCTTGTATGAAATTAAGTAAAAACATGATATTGTTAAAGGCCATGATTTGATCTATAGCTTATATTATTTTAAAGTCATTTAGAGTTGTTTTGAAATCTAGAGAAATTAATTAAATAATTTAATTAATTTTTATTCATATGTTCTTTTGATTTAAATTAAGTTTTGACTTGATATATGTAATGGCCATGATATGTTCTTTAGCATATATTAAATTGAACATATTTGGAGTTGTTTTAAAATCTAGAGATTTAATTATTTTATTTTAATTAAATTCTATTTAATAGTTTCACTTATTTTATTATGTTTTTGACATAATATTAAATTAAGCCTTGACATGTTCTTTGACATATATTAATTTGAGAATATTTGGATGAGTTTTGAAAACTTCATTTAATTATTTTCTTTGTATGAAATTTAATTCACATAGTTGTATTTAGTGTGGAATTGACTTGTAACATGATATTAAATTAGGCCTTGGTATGTTCATTAACATATATTAATTTGAAAATATTTGGATGAGTTTTGAAATCTAGAGATTCTAATTAAATGAATTAATTAAAATCTATTTAATGGTTCCATTGATTTAATTATGTTTTTAACTTGATATATGTAACGCCCTTGACTTGTTCCTTAACATATATTAATTTGGAATCATTTGAAGTTGATTTAAGATCTAGAGAAATTAATTAACTAGTTTAATTAATTTTTATTTAAGTGTTCTATTTATTTAAATGAATATTTGACTTGATATATGTAATGACCATGCTATAATCTTTGATATATATTAATTAGAGAATATTTGGATGAGATTTGAAATCTAGAGAAATTAATTATTTTATTTTTATTGCATTGATGATTTAATCAAGTATTTGACGTTGATTATATGTTTAAATCATGATTTTAGACTTGTATTATATTCATGAGATCATGTTTTCAATATTGAATAATAATGTCATTATAGCGTATAACGAATCGCACATTGAAGATTTGACATTGTATATATTTGCATGGGTAACGAATCACACATTAAAGATCCGACATGGTTTATGCCATTATAGACTTGAATCCTTAGGACATGGTTTGTGTGGTTTCACCCTACTTGTGCTTGGTAGGTAGTTTCATGCATTGTACTTGAATATATGTCATGAACTTGTTGTTTTTAGAAAGATTGTAAGGACTTGAATATATGTTATGGCTAAGGTTCGACTCTAGTATGGGAGATAAGAGTTTTCCCTATAATATTAAGTGCGTACTAGGTAGTATCTTGTGGGTCGTAATTACCCGAAATCACTTGCTTGGTTATGAGACCGTATGTCCTAGTCTTTCCACTACTTGATTTCGCATTCAATTTCAAGTTTTTAATCATTGATTACTTGTAACTTGTAATTTGGTGTGTACATTTTCAATTTCATTTAGTGTACGTGCGCTTTGTATACTCGCTTCGTGCATTTAAATCTCATATAGTATACTTGTGCTTGTATACTTGCTTTACGTATATTTAAATTCCATTTAGTATACTTGCACTTTGTATACTTGCTTCGTGTATTTAAATCTCATATAGTATACTTGTGCTTGTATACTTGCTTTATGTGTATTTAAATTCCATTTAGTATACTTGCACTTTGTATACTTGCTCCGTGTGTATTTAAATTCCATTTAGTGTACTTATACCTTGTATGCTCACTTTATGTGTTTTTCAACTCCGTTTAGTATACTTGTACCTTGTATACTTGTTTCGGTATATTTAAAATTTCATTTAGCATTTTGTACCTAGTATGCTTACAAGTTGCGTATTTCATTTTCAATTGCATGAATATTGTGATTTATGCTAGAAATGCTCTAAGGTAGCTTAGGATACTCCTAAAGTCTCACATTGAACATAAACATTAGGTGGCATGAATCACGTGAATTGATCTAAATCAATCTAATAAACTTGTAAAACGTTAAGTTATTTGCATATTCATCTTCCTACGAGTAACTTTGGTTGCTCACCCTCATTGTTGGGATATTTTTCAGGTACGGAGATCATATTTTGGGATACACAATATCCCTTGGTTGTCTTGTAAATTTGAAGTACTTCATTCATGTACTTGTTAGCATGAAAAGTGTTGTTTTTGGTTTTATATGTCAAAACATGTATATTCAGTTTTAATTATATAATGTGCACATAAGTGCATCTTTTAGAATGTATTTGATATGTATGTAACGTGGCCAAAGCCCGTTTACTTTTAAGTTGCTTCTTTTTAAGTATTTTAAGTTCCATGTTTAATTATTGAAAAATAGGAAAATATGAAGTTTTAAGTTGTCATTTTCAATTCGGATGTTACAAAGTATGCCCAAGCACACTCATTAGGACTCTTTTAATATATTTGAGGTGTAGCCAATGGTCAAACGCCTTTTCATTTGCATCTATGCATTTTGGTTTCAAAATTTGTTTTTAGAAGTCATTTTAGGCAAATTTTAGGTTTGATAGGTCGTATTTTGCATCAGATATATTTGGGGGTCACGGACCATTCCCGCACGTCTTAAAACACTAATTATGTTTGCGTGCACAATCGTTTTAGCATACAACTTCACATTCGGCCATTTGAACACTTGATGCAAATTCCACTTTTACGTTTTTTTGTCAAAATTGAGCATAAGAACATTTTGAGGATTTCACATCAAAATTAAAATTTTCTTTTGACATAGTTAGCTAGAAAACCTGATTTTAAGGGAGGGTTCTTCTTTGAGTTTTTCCAAAAACAATCATTAAAGGGTCCAAAATTGCTCTCTGTTCAGGAAAAATCAGCAAAATCAGCTGCTGTCATCCAAGCCTTAGCCGCGTGCGCACGGGCGCGCACGCACGCAAAGGGGCTACCTTGGTGCCCCATGGCCGCATCAACTTCCAAATTTGTTTTTGACCGTTCTTCTTCGTACGGATTCCGAATCAAGTGATTTTTGAGTCTAACTTTATTAATTTCTCGTCGTCTATCCAATGGTGCACTCGTTAGCACCCGAATCTTTCTGGAAATTATCATTTTCCCCTAATGCTAAACTTGTCCGTATTTAAAACGTCACTTCCACTTTGTTTTTTTTTGGGTTCATTGACTTCATAGGAAGTCATGCTAGTGTCTTGAGGATGATGTACATCTTTCAAAACGTTCTTTCCGTGTGAAAAGACCATTTTGCCATTGGGGCCATACTTGGTCTATTTTTAACTATAACTTCCGTTTTTATCCTCGTTAAGTTCCGTGACCTCATGGAAGGTCACTTTGGCGTTTTAGAGACGTATTCCATCTCTAGAGACTTGGTTTCTATATCCGCTTCAGCATTTGGGATCCGTTATCCGGTCAAACTTTGCGCACTTGCTTGATCACGACCTATGAAGCACCGATACGTGGGAATAGATGGTCGTACCGGTGTCGGACACGTGTCCGACACGGACACGAGTGTCTGAGGCTTTGACACGTGTCTGAGGCTTTGACACGTGTCTGACACCTCTGTAGAGGTGTTTTATTTTTTTATCATATTTTTCATGCCGGACACTGCGAAGGACACGCCGGTGACACGCATAAGACACGGGATTCACGCCGGTGACATGCATAGGACACGGGATTCAAATTTTTGTAAAAATAAATAAATAAATAGAGAGATATATACACAGGCTAAAAGAGTGCAGCTCGATTGGGATCTTCCTGAATTTATCCGGCCGCAGCCGAAGCCATCGAACTGATTGATCGGCGAGATAGTTTTGGATCAGATCTACTTCGTTCCCCTTCGCACACCGGACTTTGATGGTGTCTATTCTACTCTCAGAGTTTAATCAACTTGAACACTTTGTTCTTGGATCTCTCTCTAGGAAATGGTCGGCAGGATGATGCTTCGGATCTACTCTGTGGCTTTCTCTCTCACACACTAGATTGTGGTGGCGTACACAAGTGTGTTAGTTCACTAACTTTTGATTCTCTATACAATTAGGGTTAAGTTGCTAATTGCATGTAAGCTTTGTCTTAGTGAATGGGCTTGGGCTTAATGATGCTTGGACTATATTTTGGGACTAAAAGTTGTGTTTATTAAATAATAGGCCTAAAAGTTGTGTTTATTAAATATAAATTAGAAATTGAGTAAAAATAAAAAATATATATATTATAATGAAGAAAATATATATTATAATAAAAATATATATTATAATATATATATATATATATATATATATATGTATATATATTATTTTATTGTCATATCCTTGTGTGTCCAGTTTTTTTAAAATTTGTCTTATCATTATATCCACATCGTATCATATCTGTATTCTATATCTGTGTCTGTGCTTCAAAGACCTTTATAATGAAGAAAAAGAGTGTTTGTGCGCGACGATTGAGCTTTCACTTTGAACTTGTGATTTGAAATTCAAGGTTTAATGTTTAGATACACATGCAAGGTCTATTTATGCTAGTTTAAGAAGTGCTCACTCACGCCAGTGATATGCATAACAACTGAGGTCAGTATATGGCGTGTGCGAAGGTTTATGTTGTTTCAAGGTAATGCGAATCCACTGATGTTTCCGCTGACGGCTCTCTGTTGTAGAGGTTTCTCTTCGTTGTGGCGGCTCTCTGTTTCATCAGAGTTTTTCGAGTTCGGTGATGTTTCCGCTAATGGGGTTTCTCCATGGCTTGTGGCGAAACAGTCCTAATTTTGGTGAGGGCTTCACGATCTATACTTTTGATCCCGGTATTGGCGCCGTGTCGTTGGTGATATGGTTTTTAGTGGTTTGTTCTCTTTTTTTTCGTCTCTGCACTATGGGTTCGTCGTTACGGTGTCTATCTCTCTTCCTCTTTGCAGCAGGCAATTGACGGTGGGGATGCCGACCAGTAGATTGGCTACCACCTAGTCGATGGTTCTTTTGTTTCGATTGCTGGATCGCGTGTTTTGGCCGGAGGCAACCCTCTTGGCACTTTTGTGTCGCTCTTCCACTTTGCTTCAGGCTTGGTGTTCGGTTGGGTTTCCATGGGTCCCTCTGTGGTGGGTTTTCTCCTGTTTCTGTGTTGGGCCTTCCGTCTCCTTCCCAACGGCATAAACACTTCCAGTCTTGCAGTTCCTCTGATCTGGAGTTTACCGATCCCCTTTCGGTTTGTTCTTGGCCCTGTTATCACTTTCGGGATTTCTTTTGGCCATGACAGTGTCTGTTGTTTCAGGTGCTTTCCGTTGATGGTGGTGTTTTCCGATGAGTACGTCTTGCTGACGTCGTTCTATAGGCGTACGGTTTATGCTGGATGTGTTGTGGTGGGTCCGGGAGAAACTTCTGGTTCTTGTGGTTGGGGCTTTTTTTCATGGGTTTGTTTGACTGGGCTTCGGTCTAATCCCAGTTCTGGTTCTTGTGGTTGGGGCTCTTTTTTCATGGGTGTCTTGTAATGTGGACTGTTTTCTTTTTGCTTTGCTTGCTTGTACTTTTGCTTCTTTGTAATAATATGTAAGTCTTTGCTTGTCGAAAAAAAAAAAAAAAAAGGTAATGCGAATCCTGACTTATGATTTACTTTCCCACTTTTTGGGCAGTTTGCCAAATAAGTAAATTCCTATCTTACTTTTTGTGTCATTACAGATTCAGCTCCACTCTTTCTTTAAATTATAATATACATATACATGAATACATACATATATATATACACACACACACATATATTGGCCAAACCAGTGTCTATGAAGGGACTATCTTTGAAATTCAACTTCGACAAAGAATCGAAGTCCCCACCTACCTTGTTCCCTAATTAGGCACATCTCCCAATGGGTTCTTAAACAAAATACATATAAAATGAAAAATGAGTTTTCTTTTTTTTTTTTTTTTAAAAAAAAAGAAAAAGAAAATTTCATAGAATCAACGTTCATGGTGGATGTCGGTCTTGTTCAATTGTTGGGTGCAAAGCCTAACAAGTGAAAAATAAAAATAATAAAAAACGACGTTTATAGTGGACGTTGGTTTAGTTTAACTATTGGGCTATATATATATATATATGAATAAATGTTACATGTATATACATATATGTACATCTTTAGTGCTTTTGCCAAGAATAGTTCCCAATTGGCGGGTGTTATCATTACAGTCAACTCTAGGTTCAGTCCTAGGCCTTTGGAATTGATGGTCACATCTGCACCGACTTCTCCGAATTTTGACTCTCTAAAAATATTACATCAACTTTATTAAAAGTTATGTCAGCAATTCTAAAGTCACATCCGCTCTTTAGAAACATGCACTTCATCAAACTCTCTGAATTTTCGCTCTAAAAAAAAAAAAAAATTAAAAATTAAAATTAATTTTTTTTTTTTTTTAACTTTTCCTAAGCGACTATATTTCTAACGGCTATATTTTTAACGGCTATGAGAATAAGTAGATTAATTTGTAATTTTAATTATTTTTTTACAAAAAGTTAAAAAAAAAATTATGGTCATTAAAACACTATTTGTGTTGGCCAAACAGTGCCTTAATGGTCAAATGCATTAAGCAAAAAAATAAAAATAAAAAAACAAATTTTAAGGGGAAAAAACAAAAAAAAAATAAGCTTTTTGAATTTATTTTTGGCCAAAATAATTTTTTTTTTCGACAAACAGTGCCTAAACAATATATTTTTTATTTAATGAATTTTATTTTATTTTATTTTTTAAAAAAAGTGCTCAAAATAACCTATTTTTAGGTTTTTTTTTTGAAAAATAATTTGCCAAGGCATTGTTTGGCCACTGTTCTATGAGTAGAAGAATAAAACAAAGACAAGCAACCAAAAATGACACCATTTTGCAACAAAAAAAAAAAAAAAAAAATTCAGCGATCGCAGATTAGCTCGTTGAATACCGCGAGCCGGCCTGTGAGTAAAACTGGACCCTACCATTTTTGGCTAGGCCGCTACACGCCTAAGGCCATCTGCACCAGCCTCTCTGGATTTTGGCTCTCTAAAAACGCCACATCAGCTTTTCCAAGAGCCACATCAGCAATTCTGTGACGGCCCTAGTTTTTAGGCTAGTGCGTCCTATGATAGACCGAACGTAGATCCGATAATGAATCCAGAATGTGGAAGCAAAAAGGTAAAACAATGGTTTCTAGAGATACTACCCATCATTCAGACACCCATGTGATCCTCAATGAAGTTACAAAACCCAAAGAAAATAAATGCGGAAACAACGCCTCAAAGACGGATAAGAATGAACCTAGGGGCAAAATGGTCTTTTAAGACTGAAATGGGTGTCACCGTGCACACCATTACAAAGAAAACAAAAAAATAACAAAGATAGACTCAAGAATGACTTGATTCGGAGTCCGGACGAAGAAGATATCAAGTTTTGAAGTCAAGGAAAGAAAAACCCCCTCCCGATTCAAACCAATTCCTAACACTACCTCACTAAAACTTGAATATCTTGAGTTATAAATGGAATCTGAAACTCTAATTGGTACCATTGGAAAGCTTATTTTGACGCGATCAGTTTAGACTGAAGAATGGACCAATTCGGAGTTGAAACAAAGAAGTTATGAGAGTTCAAAGTTGGAAGATAAAAGCTGAACCCACAAACAATTTCTGGAAGACTTGAACTGGTTCAGCCTTCTTGAACCTGTTCAACATGGATAGTATGCCCATTCTGGACCCAAAGCTTCATCTTGAACCAGTTCAATCCACCCTGAACCGGTTCAACCCACCCGTATTGCAGAAAATAGCAGAAATAGTAAAAAAAATGCAAAAAATGAGTTTGAAATGGGATTTATATGACCAAGATGATGTTTTCTTGAAAAATTCTGTGAAGAAACCCCTCCCTAAAATCACATTTTCTACATGACCATGTCAAAAATGGAATTAATTTGTCAAGGTAAAATTCCTAAAATGCCCTTGCATCAGATTTGTAAATAAGATGTCAAAAGGTGTCCAAATGAGGTTCATTTCATGAAATGGTGTGAATTGTGCCTAAGTGAGCATGCACACAAATGTACTATATCTATTTAGACATGCGACAATGGTTCACAGCCTCCGAAAACACTCAATGCAAAAAGTGACCTACCAAACCTCCATTTCAGAATAATTTGTCTGAAAACATAAAGTATAGACTAAGAGCATATGCAAAATTTGGAAAAGTGTTTGGCCATTGGCCACACCTCGAATAAAATAGATAGACCTCAAAAGAAAGCCGTAACCTTATAAATACCTCCTGATGCAAAGATAATTGATGAACGTTGAAAAATGCGCATTGAAAGCCCTTAAGCTTGAGTATTCTAGGACCTTTATCTATCTTATTTTCCCATTTTAGACTACTTTCGTGTTATTTCCTTTTTTAGATCAATAAAGTTAAAACGAGCTAAAAATGGTTTCTTAAGGCCTTTTTGGAGTCAAACTAAGTCTTTGTGGGAATTTGGAGCAAAAGGAGGCTGATTTGGAGCAAAAGGAGGCTGATGCTGAAAAACTGCCAAGTGAGATAGATCTGAGAAAAGTCTGATAGATCTGAGAAAAGTCTGATCGATCGAACAAACTCTTATCAATCGAAGAAAAGTCTGATCGATCGAAAATGTGCTGGCAGTGAGCTGTCTAATTCCCGAGGGCGCTGATTTCCACCTACCACATAGTACGGGATTATGTATTTTTGGGGCTATATTTCTGACTTAATGACTAAGAAAAAGACCTTGTATTTAAAGGGAAATGAATAATTTTGTAATATATCTTTTTGTCTTCAATTTTGTATATTGTAATTTTATTTTTTCTCTTTAAAAAGTTAGAGATTAGGGTTAGAAGAGAGGAGGGAAGTGGAGGCACATCTCAAGAAGACATATCTAGATCCACATACTCTCTATCTCTAGAGCTTCAAAGACGAAGAAGAAGAAGATGGAGCCATGTTTGGAACTTGCCCTTGAGGGTTCCAAGATCACATTTACCTCCTCCATGATTAGCTAGACTTCTCTTTGGGGCTTGGATGAGCCCCAAGTTTGTAATCTAAACCTCTATCTTTTTCATACTTTTTGGGGAGTAATATCTTGTGATTAATGTTCTAGCCTTGTGAATTTAATGAATCTTGGTATATTTTTATGATTTCTATGGTTTAATTCTGCCTGCTAATTCTCTAGTTTATTTACATGTCTATGTGCGATTAAATTGGGAATTATGTCTCACATGATTCAAATGGTTTAATTCTTTTTATTGATTCTCTTTGTGATTACATGTTGTCTTATGTGTGATTATTTGGGAATTAATCTCTTTACTAGTTTTTCTATATTAATTGCATATCTATGTGGGTTGATTGAGAATCTAGTGATGGCTAGACATGGATTTTATTAGATGGGTTTGTCAATTAATTTGATGGATTATTCTTATGCTTGATGAGTTGTTCTACAATTTAGTTCATATTTGTAGGTAGGTAGACAATCTATACTTAAGTTGATATTCCATGGCTTATTATTGCAAATTCTATGATTCTCTAGATTGATGTGTGTTACAATTGTGACTAATTTGATGGGTCATGCTTAGAATTGATGGGTTGTTATACACTTAGTTTATTTGTTGGTTAGGTAGACAACACATTATTGAATTTGATGGTCCAATCTTAATATTGCAATTGGTAGTCGCATTTTGTTCACAAGAATGTTTTCCCCAAATTAGTTGAAAGTGTGTGGTTTGGTGAACAAGCTTGGTGGCAATTCCAATAGACCCCAAGACCTCATTTTTCATCTCTTAAATCCCTAACTTAACTTAGTTTATTTTAATTGCATTTTAATTAATTGAATTTTAGTGTAATCAAACAATCAATCTCTCCTTTGCAATCTTATGATCCACTAGAGTCAAAGTTAAATTCCAACACGTACAATCCATTGGGACGATCCCTACTCACTCTTGCTACGTTAGTCGTAGTGGTTTTTATAAATTTAAACTTGACCTAAAAGGCTTTTCTTGAACCGCACATTCACTACATTATTTTGGCATATACAAGCGGCCTCGTCAATGATACTTAAAAGCCTAGGTTTTACAATTTTCCCCTTTAAAAACAATTTTCCACAAATAATGCATAAAGGTGAATCCAAACGTAAATTGGCCCTTGGCCACATATCACACATACACAATAAGTATCAAAAGGTGCACTTAAGTACACATTACATAGTTTGAACACTAAATACATGTTTTGTCAAAATAAACCAAAATGGAGCAAGATATGCTTACAAGTGCATATTCTAATATAACAAAAACACTCCAAGTAGTCAAGCAAGCCTAGGGGCGTTGTGCATCCCACAATACCATTTCTTTATCTGTTAACTTCGGAGTGAGTAAACAAGTTTACTCGTAGGGAATGAGCATGCATAAGTTCAACTTATTACAAAGTTTACAATTCAATATAATTTGATCCATGCTATTAAAATGACATTAGAACTTTCAACATAGCATAATGAGATGCAATTTCACAAAGTTATCAACTTGGAAATTTAAGTGCGAAATCATACCAAAGTGGATACTTGGATATCGCCCAAACTAAAACCGTACTATTAGGATCACTTTAG